TGTGAGGCAGGGGAGAGATGTGGGAGCTTTAGGAAGCTCCCTCCTTGGGCCAGCCAGTGATCTGGTGGTTAAAGTGACTGGATCCCACGTGACCGGAAAGCATGCCAGTGTGTGTGCTCATTCTCGAAATCCCAAAGGAGGGAGAGATGGAGAAGGGATTGCAGCGTGATCATGCCTCATGGTGGGTACTTTCTCACTTTCTCTTTCTCCTTTGAGTGTATGTCTCTGGCAAAAATTAAAAAAGGAAAAGAAAATAGAAACAAAGAAAAAGCTGCCAGAGTCAGCCTATAGCATGGCAGTTAAGACAGTTGGATCCCAAATGGCTGATTCCATGGTTTGAGTCCCAGACCTGGAAGCTTGAAAAACAGGCCAGGAATGTGCATATGTGACCAAAATCCTGAGAGAAGCATGGAGAAGGGAATGCAACGTGGCCACTCCACCTCCCCCGGCGGGGGGCTGATTTCTCACTCCCCCCCCCCCCCCCCCCGCCTCTATCTCTCGGGCAAGTGCATGCACCCTACAGCCAAAACCAAACAAACAGACCTATAAACAAATACAAAAAGACAAAGAAAGCTGTCTCGTGGGGACTCGGGAACCCAGGCACTGCTGGTGTGATGGAAGATCGGAACAGCTGTTCTGGACGGAAATCAGTCATTTACACATACCCATGACCCAACAATTCCACACATGGGCACACCTTGGGGGAATCTTCCATAGAAAGAGGCACATGAAGCCAACTGCAGCATTCTCTGCAGTGCCCAGGAGCGGAGACAGCCCGAGCACCTATACTTGGGGAGAGGTGTGTGCTGTGGTGTCCCACGTGGCAGTTAGAGGTGGTGGGGTACACGCGGCACCAAGAATGGAGCCTAATACCCAGTGCTGAGTGCAAAAAGTATATCAAAACTGTTTGTGCAAACGAATTCACATTGTGCAAGAACACTTACAAGATGCGAGGACACATGAAAACACGAGAATGATTGATCAGGTGGAGGGCGGGAAGAGGAGGAGGGCTCCAGATAGAGGAATAAATGACAGAGGCAATGCCGCTCTGTATTGGAGCCCAAGGGCTGGGCTATGGGGTGGACAAGAACACAGGGGGTCTGTGCAGAAACCACACAGGGGGCAGTGGCCTGGAGTGGGCCATCTCACTGACTCCCTTCCACAGATAAGGACACAGCTTGAAGAGGGATGGCCTTGCCCAAGGTCACACAAGGGAACCAAGGAAAGTATGGGTCCCAACGGTCTCCAGATCTCATGCTTGAACCCTTTCCACCCGGACGCCACTGCTTTCATTGCTCAGAACCTGGGTCCGAGTGGCCTTAGCAAGTATCTACTGTATCGTGGTCTGGGTGTCCTCGAGGCACACAGAGGCTGATTGGTTCAGTTATTGGCCAAGGACACGTAAGCAGCCTTGTGTTGGAAACTTCAAAGAGCACTGGGCAAGTCACTTCCTTTTTCTGAGTTTCCCCTGTGACCTATAAAATGGGTTTTAAACTCAGTGTTATGATAGAAATGGATTGGAAAAAAAAAATGGAAGCAAAAGGATGATGTAGGCTCTGCCTTCAAGAAAGGGAGAAATGATGAGAATAAGGAAGGGAACTGGAGTTAGGGCACTGGGTCTGAGGAAAAAGTGTGGAAAAGGATTTGGTGGAAAGGGGGCATTGGACCAAGAGTTGTGCTGGGTGAGAGGGTTAGAAGGAGGAAAAGATGGAGTCCTGGCCCTGGGAGGCTCACAGCCCTCCGGCAGCATCCTTAGCCCTGCAATCTCCCTTGTTCCCGCATTAAATAATGACCGGACCTGCCAGCTCCACTGCTGGGCTTCAGATCTCTTCTCTCCCTGGTTTCTCACGGCAGCCTCCCATCCACCTACCCTTCACCTGGCAGCTTTCTGAAGGCAAATTTGCTCATAGCTCTTCCTTCCCGTAGGTCTGCTCAGTGGCTCACTTCTCTCTGGAGGATACAGGGCAGTGGGGCAGGCAGGCCCTGTAGCCCTGCCCACCTTGCCAGCCTCTGCTCTTCACTCTTGTAGTGCCCTGCATACCTGGCTCTTGCACACCTCTGTGCCTCCCCACACCTGGGCTCCCAGCCCCTCACAAGCCAGCCTCTCCCCATCCAACCATCTACATAGACCGTCCTCATCTCTGCACCACCTTCTATGAGAACCTCGTGGACTACCACCCCTCTATGCCTCCACAGTACAGACTTAGGACCCAACACCTGTCTGCTTTTCCTTCTAGACCAGGCCAGAGCCCCCAAGGCTGTTGCAGTCCATGAAGGGCTCCACAGCCCTTTGTTGGAGAACTGAGCAGGGGCAGGAAGTCACAGTAGGTGGGTAACCAGGTCTGCCTCACGGGATTGAAGCCCCTGCTCCTATCTCAGCTCTGGCGGGAGGGGGAAGCTAAGCTCCGAAGACCAGTCTGGTCACTCCAAAAGGTCCATCCCAAGCAGAGGAAAGCCAAGCGCTCACAGTGGCAGCCCCATCCCTCCCACCTGTCATCAGCTGGCCCCCTTCCTCCTGTGGTCCAGCCACTCCAGCCTCCTTGCAGATCGAAGCACACTGCTCACCCCTCCTGCCTCCTCGGGCTCTGTCCTGCCTGTTCCTCCCACGGGGAATTCTCTTTCCAGACACCTCCTGGGCACTCCCAGGCCTCCTCTGGCTGTGAATCCCTGTCTGCCAGGTTGGAAACCTTTCTCCACTAGCTCTTGCTACCTCATGGCCAACCTTCACATCTCATCTGTGTACTGCCTTCCTCTTCCCAAGGCCAGGATTTTCTCGGCTTTACCCACCATTATATACCCAGAGACAAGACCAGGCTGGATACACAGCGGTAGCTTGGCAAATCTGGCGGCCAACTAACCGATCGAGTGCGTGGAGGAGTTACAACCCTGGCTTCGCAGGGCCGGGGCACAACCAAGCAGAGACGAGGGCGGGGGAGGTCCTTGTCCGGAGAGGGGTGGGGCCGTCCTGGCCACGCCCCCGGCTCGGCGGAACCCGAGGAGCGCGGCACGGGGCAGCCCGGAAGATTGAGAGGAGGGCGCCGCGCTGCCGGAAGGATCCTGGTGCTGGCGGCGCCGGCTCAGACCCGAGGACTGGGGAATCCGCCATGGAGCGATCTGAGTCGGACGGCGCCTCGGAAGACGCTATGGACTCGTTCCTGGAAAAGTTCCAGAACCAGCCTTACCGCGGCGGCTTCCACCAGGACCAGTGGGAGGAGGTGGGCGGTCCCAGGGTCCTGCACGTGGGTGGTGGTGTGATTCTGGCTCCTTTCTGGGCTCCCGACTAGAGGTTGTGGTTCGGGCTCTTTCATCCTCAGATCCCGGGTGCCGCTGGTCGGTGCTTTCCAGTTGAATGTGAAAAATAAATCGGCCCGGAAGTTCCGATGGTCTTCATAAGCTGTCAGTACATATAGGAGTCCAGACTTCGCAGTCAGACCTGTGACTCCACCACCACACGCTGATACCGGGCCGGTTACTGAACTTCTCTGAGCCGGTTTACTCATCTGTCAAATTCCCCAAACTGCAGCATCTCCCAGGATGTAATGAGGTGTAAAAAGAAATGAGGTGGTAGGTGAAGCACCAGGAACATAAGAGCGCCTAATTCATGGTAATTACTACCGCATTTGGAGAATGTGAAAACTGAAAGAATCATTAGGAACCATTATCCTACACTCGTTTTACAGAAGGGAAACTGAGTCCTGGATAGATAGAGCCAATCATGGTGATTTGTAAATCAAGATGGGTAAAAAAAAATGGAGATAATGAATCACGGCATTGGATCTACTCAGAAAATCGTACTCATGTAGTTCATTCTTCTCTTACAATCTCCAGGAATTTGAAAAGATTCCCCTGTTTATGAAGAAAGCACCATCCGAAATTGATCCCAAGGAGAATCCTGACTTGGCTTGCCTCCAGTCAATTATTTTTGATGAGGAGCGATCACCAGAAGGTATCTTACGTGATTAACATTTGTGTCTACATTGAATTGAGATCATGTGTGAGTTGGAAAAGGTTCTGATTGGTAACAAGAATTAGTTAGCCAGAGCATACTTACCTCTTTTCATACATACTAATTTGGGTACCTACTAGTTACCAGGCATTGGAGGGGATACAAGGGTGAATAAGAAATGTTTCCTGCCCTCAAAGGTCAGGCTCCATTGAGAAGCTAAATGTCCTGAAAAAATCAGGGCAGATTTATGTGATAAGTGCTAATAAGTAGCTGCATGCTCATTACATTTTCTTGACTTTGCCTCTCCATGTCGATACTCATAGTTTTCATAGCATTAATTCTGAGTTTTCTTTTCCTATTGATTTCTTCTCTTTAGATTACATATATTACATAATTTAGAATCCATTTTTTAATTGCTAGAGGGCACATGCACTTACCAGAGAAAGAGGGGAGCAGAAAGAGAGAAGGCACCACCCAGTGGGACGTGGTCATCAGTTGTCCCTTCTCCATTTCACCATTCTATCAGGATTTTTCCCCTCTTTCTTTTTTTAATTTGCCAGGAGTTGTATGCACTTGCTGGAGAGAGAAAGAGAGGGAACGAGCAAGACAGTGA